GGTTCGCACATTCGCTTTCTTGTCGGATTAAACGAAACGGAACGTGTTCACGAGCATCAGGCGTCGATGCGTTCCGGCTACAGCTAAAAGATGATAAATGAAGCGGCGTCTAACGCAGCAGCCCGCATTTCAAGCCTTTGTCGCGAAGAAAAAGCCTCGGAAACTATTAACCCCCGGTCAACATTGTCATTAATCGATATTAGTCGAATCGAGAGGGGGTCCATGCACGCCACGATTGTCCGCTCCTCGGAATTATTATTAATGATTCGTGTTTCGTGATTGCCGGCTACTCTTTTCGGCATGCTTTGGAAGAATGAGAGGTTCGTTGATCTTATGCTTCTTTTAATGAAATATTGACGTAATTTGACACGTGATAGGACGACAGCATCTGTTAGCGTGAATCTATGTCACGAACGAATTGAGGAAAACAATTATTACGTTTGCGATGTTACTGAACAAATGGACAACAACAGGAGTGATTCTTGAATATATATTATAACGTCCTATCATCAAAACGATGCTAACATAATTAGAGATTTACTCTTAATTGTGATAAACGTTGAAACTTTCATATTTATAACATAAATTCGTTTCTCGATAAGAATCGTAATTCTAATTTTATATTAGGCACAAGTTTATTTCTATGCTTATCATTTGACGCATATAGACTAGACTTATTATTTGTATTTCGCAATAAGTTCATAGAACGCAGCAACTTGGGCATATAGGAAGATCTGAAATTAAAATCTCCACATTAAAGTCACGCACGAGTGATTAGTTAATAATTATGGTGTACGAATATCAGTGATACATATCTGGCGACAATCGTTAAGCAGTCGTACCGCATGAGAAGTACACGTAAATGAGACGCTGCGGTTAATGAATATCAAAGCATCTCACGTGCAATAATGACATTCCTTCTCATTGATCAACAAGTCGTATAATTAAAATTTATGTTACGCGGAAATTTCACGGCGCAACTAAACTCACACCATAAATGGCTCGTAAAATTGGGTTGATTTATCTTCGACCAGCAGAACGAGTAAACGATAAAAGTATTTTGTATAAAAATATAATGGAATGACAAAAATTATTTATATTATCATAAAACTATCATTATCAAAAAATTTTTGATTAACATCAAATATTTATATTTTAATGAACTTGTTATCTGATCACTTCCAGGTGATGAATACTTCAAACATTCACTGAAAAATATTTCAAATATAAGATTAGAATATAAAACTAAAGAGTAATTAAAGCATGAGGAATTTATAAATGCTTGTTAATCCTGTTGATGTCTTGTTAGATGTTGAAATATGATGTTCATTTTCAATTAGTTATATATAAATGTAAAAGTTGAAATATTTGAGTTTCAGTTATTCGAATACTTAAAGATTTGAACTTCAATTTCTTAAATATTTCAATATTTAAGTTATAAATTTTCGAATACTGAAATGTTGGAGTTTTATATCTTCGAATACGAAAATACAAATTTAAATTGTCGATACTCAAATGTCTAAACTTCAGTTTTTAGAATATATAAATATTCGAATTTTAAACTTCAGTATTGAATTATTCAAAAATCCGAAATACTGAAAGGCACAAATGTCTATCGAATTTCATCTTCAGAACACAAATATTCAGATTTGAAAGTTTTGGATATACAAATTCTCAAATTTCAAATGATAAATATAATAAGAAATTATATAAAAACTAATGATGTGTTGATTCATAAATACAAAATTTAGTGTTGTATGTCCAACTACAAGAATCATTTCACAAACAGTACCGATTCATCCCTATATAAATCACTCCACAGACTCATCCCTATACAAACATACTAATCACGATTCCTAAGTCTTACTCATCCTAGACCTCGCAACCATCCTGAGTCACGCTGTCCCTTGACCACCATCCCTACCACTACCTATCCTTAAGCTAGTATTTAAAAACCCCCAAGTTTTAGAATAAGTTTAGAATTAGAAATAGTTCGGTACTGAGCGAACCGCATTCGAGTTGTACGTTTCGTCTTCGTAATAAAGTGTTGTATACCAGAACCCAACAAGAGTGAGACCTCTCGAAACGTGTAAAGCTCGCTCGGCAAGAAATGTAACTGATGTTTTGAGTTGAGGGAAATTCCTAAAACTGTACATGTGTAAATATAAAACTTCCTTATTTTTTATTTTTTCGTCATCCAACTTTTATCAATAGATTTTTCTCATTTTTCTTATTAAAATGAGGCCAAACACAATATAACTTGGAATGAAAAAGGAAGAGACGCTGCGACAGTTGGTAAAGATAAAAAGTCTATTCAATTGTTTAAATTTTCAATGTCTTGCTAACCTTTTTGTTTTTAATCCATTTTCTATACAATTTTTTCCATCATATTCGTAACATTTTTCTGAATAAAATGAGACCAAATATGACGTAGTTGGAGTCATATTTACTTGCAATAATTTATTGAAGTTGTTGATCCCACTCAGAATTTTAGGCAAGTTTTTATTTAACGCGTACAATAAGCTCGACATTTTATCATGGTTATTGAGTAGTTGGACAGGATATATAGGATGTCCCAGTTTTTTCCAGTCAAACTTTGCCAGCGTGTTCTACGCGCAAAAGTATGGAAAAAATGTTATACAGGGTGTCCCGTAACTAGTGTTACTCCCTGAAAGGGGTGGTAGAGGACGTCATTCTGAACAAGATTTTCCTTTGCGAAAATGGGGTTTGAAGCTTCGTTTTTGAATTATTAAGGAAAAACACGGACCAATCAGAGCGCGAAG